AGGCTCCCCGCTGAGCAGAGAGCCGGATCCAGGACCCTGGGATCATGACCTGAGCCGAAAGCAGAGGCTTTAACCCAATGAGACACCCAGGCGCCCCTCGGACACTTTGTTTGCATGTCTATCTCCTCCCTGGATTTGTAAGCCGCAGGAGCACATGGTCCACCTCTTGTTATCTTTACATCTCCAGCTCTGGGTGTAGTGCCTTGGTGTGAAAGATAGGTTGCATAAAGTAATCAAAGCCTGCGCTGCCCCAAATGTAAGTGGTTAGTGGTATGTGTGATCATTCCTGGATTAAAGAGCTCATTACTGGATTAAAAAGCTGTATCAGGGGTTACATTAATAATATAGTCACTTTGGGGTGCCTGGGTGGCTCAGTCAGTTAAGTGTCCAACTCTATTTCTGCTCATCACAATCTCCATGTTGTGGAATTGAGTCTGGTGTCAGGCTCTGGGCTGGGCATCGAGCCCACTTAAGATTCTCTCTCCCTTTATCTCCCCACCAACTTGTGTGTGCACACTCTCTCTTTCTCTTTCAAAAAAAAAAAAAAATCTTAATACTATAGTGACCTACATTTCCACATGGTCATGGACCAAAGGGTGGGAGTTTTGCCCACAACAGGCACTTGTCTGTGGCAGGGAGTGACAAGAACAGCAGTTAATAGCATAGGCTTAGAGTCAGAAAGACTCTGGCACCTACAAGCTGGATGACCTTTCTGAGCATTCACTTTCTCATCTGTAAAATGGGGCTAATAATTGCTAGAATGGATTGCTGGAAGAATTAAACTAGACAATGAACATGAAGTGTTTAGAACAGGGCACACGGGGCACCTGGGTGGCTCTGTCGGTTAAGTGTTCAACTCTTGATTTTGGCTCAGGTCATGATCTCAGGGTTGTGAGATGTTGGCTTAGCGTGGAGTCTTGCTTGAGTTTCTCTCTTCCTCTGCTCCTTCCCCTGCCCCGCCCCCACACAAGCGCCCTCCTTCCCGCTCTCAAGTAAATAAAATCTTTAAAAATAAAAATAAAAATAAAAAAAGAACAGGGCACACAGTAAACTCTCAACTCATGGTGGCTACTATTAGAATGGCCCAAGAATGTATGTTAAGTGTTCAGTATTCTTCCTGGCACACAGAAGGTGCTTAATAAGTAACAGGGCATATTATCAGCAGCTACATCTACTTTGGTTAGCAGAAGGTTTACGATTTCACAAAAACAGTGAGTCGTAAAGCAGATATCTTAGATGCCTCTTTTCCCATGTATACTTCCTCACTAGCTGGTCAAAGCTGTTCATGTTTGAGACTCCCAACAATCCTAGGACTTAGGCATTTCATACATGAGGAAACTGTGGCTCTCAGAAATTATTTTACTTGTCTGGGGTCAGCTTCAGAGCTCCACAGAGAAATCCATTCTGTCAAGGCAGAAACAACTGGACTGGAATTCTGGTTGGATCTCAGTCCCTCACTCATCAGAGAAGTGTCTCTCTGGCAAGTTCATTCATGTAAGAACTATTTTCCTGAACACTGTGCTAAGCCCTGGGGATACCATGGTGAGGGACAGGCCAGATCCCAGCCTTTGTTAAGTTCACATCACATAACCTCTCACTAAAATATTTGTGGAGCAAGTCAGGCCAGGGTTAACTCACCCACAAATGCTAGGGATGCAGGGATGGAAGGAAAAAGAGATAAGTGGCAAGAGTAGGGGAAAAGGAAGCACCATTTATGAAGGGAATCGCACAAGGTATGATGGTGACACTGTGAAGACATAGAACCAGCTTTTCTGAAGAGGTGGTTATCTCAGCTATATCACAGGGTAAGCAGGAGTTAAGCAGGAGAGAGAAAGTGGTCCATGTAGAGAGAGCAATCATAAAACTACTACCACTTATTGGGTCTTTAATATGTGCCAAGCATTGTAGAGGTATCATCTCCTTGGGGAGAGGAGGGACCACCATTACCCTTACAAGTGCCTTGCCCATATTCTCACTGCTAGTGAATGATGGAGTTGGCAAGGCAGACCTGTATGCAGAGCTGAAGAGAAAAGTGCTGAGTTATGGTGTCCAGAGATGAGAGGATATAATATGGTTTGGAGTCTACCTATGGGAAATGCAACCATTGTGGCAGGACAGGAGGAAGGGAGAGGCAGGCAGGGAATGGACTGAAGATTACCAAATGGCTTGTAAGTCCTTTTAAACAAATGTGGGGGTTCTTAACCTTGCTTTGCTATGGCCTGCTTTGGCAGTCTGGTAAAGCCTTGAGCCTCCTCAGAATAATGTTTGAAATGCATAAAACACAACACATATGATTAGAAAGAAAACCAATGATACAGAAATCCAGTTACCATTATTCGTTTAAAAAAAAAAATGGCACATTACGGAGTAAGGGACAGGTGAGGCTAGGTAGGGAGAGACAGGTAGGGGGCTCTGTGACCAGGCTCATGAAGGGGACTATGTAACCAGGCTCACAGAAATCCCAGAAGTGGAGAAATGTTATAGATAAGATATTAACCAGAGAGCCGGGAACAAAACAAACCCACCTTGTTTGTTTTAAATATAGACAAGATATTTTCATAATATCTACAAATCCATCTTGTTTGCCTTAAACGTTCTAGACAAAATATTTACCAATAAAAGCCCTCAGTGGCAACCCATTCCAGATCCCTCACCTAGAAAGCTTTCCCCTCTGTTCTCACCTTCCCTTAATAATCCTTCACTTAATTTCACCCTTTGTCTGCCAGATCCATTTTTTGACTTTGTGAGAAAAGAACCCGGCAACATTACTACATGTGCTTCTTTATTAATGCATAGTCCTTATTAAGGCATTAAGTAAGATCTACCGATGGGTCTAAAAATGACTGCAATTTTAAAGCAGGGACGAGTGTAAATTATCTTTTCCTAATATTTTCTTGTGAATACAATGGTGTTTTGATACATATGCAGACTGCAATGGGATATGAAAATCTGTGATTTTGTCAGGACAAAGTAACAGGTGTTGCCCAAACGATTGTAGCTGTTTTGCTCACATGCATGACAGAAAGGGATGCTAAATTTCAAATGCAGGTTAATGAAAGTAAAGGTAAAATATTTTTCCGATTCCAAAGTCACGGATCTTCTAGATTCTACCCATGACTAGGAATCCCTATGTTGAAGGGCTTTGGATTTATTCTCAGGGTTGTAGTCACGGTCAGACACGTGTAGGACTAAGCTCGCTGGCAACGCCAAGGTCTGAGAATGAGCTGGACGCGGGGTTAAGGCTGGAGACCGGTATACAGAAAGGGGGCTGTCGCAGTCATCTTGGAAGAGGTGGCGGGCTGCCAGAGTGCGGCAGTAACGATGGACCAAAGGAAACAGAGTCAAGAGACATTCAGGTGCCTCAGTTTCCCTGACTGGGATAATGGAACAACCCTCCCTCTTGCTGCCTGCTCTTTGAATAGGGGTTCCACCCAGTCCCTGAAGCTTTCTCAGGGAGAGAATGGAGTCCGGATAACACACTCCTCACCATCTGTCCTCTGAGACCCCGGGATAAGATCCCACGCCTTTCCGCCAGACTCCCAGAGCACAGTGTCCTACCGGCTCTTGACTTCTCATGCCGTCTCTGGTGCTGCTCCAAGCCCCAGGCCGGCATCGCCGCCTCCCGGCACCGTGCCAGCTCCTCCGCATCGCTGCCGCTGCCGCTGCTGTTGCTGCTCTCCAAATCGCTCAGGTTGGCACGGGGCGCCGCCATCTTGAACTACCGTAAAGGATTGTGGGGAGCGCTTGTACTGGCGAACCTTCTCTGCACCCGCAGGAGGGCGGGGGAATGCACGGTTTTGTGGGGATTGTAGTTCTTCGACGCCGGCCGCCTGGGACACGAACTACCCTGAGAGTTTTCTCAAACGTGAGAGCTAGAAGGGCTTAAGAGGTGAACTTCTCCATCCTTTTCTTGATGAGGCAAATGAGATCCACAGAGGAGAAGGAATTGCCTAAGGTCCTACGGGGAGTTAATTACAAAACCAGCATTGGTTCTTAGGCTTTGATCCAGTGTAATTTCAATATTATCCATTTATTCCAGTAATTCCCAAATTCTTCTACGCGTCAGAAACACCATAGGGAACTTATTAAAACTCGGATTGTTGTGTCCAACAAAAATTAACCAAAGGAGGGCGCCTGGGTGGCTCATTCAGTTAAGCATCTGCCTTTGGCTCAGGTCATGATCCCAGGGTTCTGGGCATCTGGTGGGCATCTGGTTCCTTGTCCCCCAGGGATCTTGCTTCTCTCTCTCCCTCTGCTCTTACCCCTGCTTGTGCTCTCTCTCTCTCTAATAAATAAATAAAATCTTAAAAAAAATATATTAAGAAACAAAAAAGGAATCAGGGCAAAGACGAGGGGGGAAATGAAACTTTTTATTGGGTGATTGGAGTAACCTGATCACATGAAGTCCTCTGATGATAGAGATACTGTTCTTTTCCAAAAGCCTTTGGACTATTACATAACATTTGTGTGTGTGCATCAGGAGTTGAGAGAATTGTTTTACACTTCATCATACTCGCTGTCCCAGATGTTGCCTCCCTCCTCAGTTTCCCAGCAATCCTCACCTCTCAGAGTTAGGAGGCTCAAATGATTCAGCAAGAATCACCAGGACAGCATTAGCATGTGTGGAAAGAAATGAAGAACATCCAAAAGAGAATAAACAAAGGTTATTTATTCCCAGCTTCCTATTACAAGGGAGCCAGCCACCGTTCCCTGCAAATTGGCAGAGACTCCAAGACAGAGAATGCTTTATAGTGGAAAAAAGAGAAGGTTTCTCTTCACTTCCTGATTGAAGCTGTTGGCATGGGGAAGCAGTAGGTGGCTAACTAGAGGCAGGCTGTCCTCTGTGATTGGTTAGGGAACTTATTTGCCTTTTTCTGGTTGGCTCTATGTTGGAAGTGCAGTGGAATTAGGCAGTTAGTGACCAAGTCCTGATGACTGGAGGTAGATTGCTGCGAAGGTGGTGGTTTGGCTTCCTGGGCTGGGGACTGCAGAGCCATATGTGGTCTGGCCATTGTCCATAGTATATCAAGTGTCTCACATCCCTCCTCATTCCCCCACTTGCAGGGCTAAGCTAACTATTTACAAAGCTGGTGAAGACAGGGCACCTCCCCAGGTGAGAGCTGGAGGAAGTGGCTGATATGCTGAGTCCTGGATTAGCAGGGCGGAAATGGAAAGCTTTCAGCTTTCTTCTTGGAAAGGATAAGGGTGTCACCGTCCTGGATCCCATAGCTGCACAAAGACGACCAATCCTGCAGGACTTGACCTTGGAACTGCAGCTGCTGCTTTTTTCTGGGCAGCCCCTGCTGGTCTTCAATCTGGTGCTTCAGGCCTAGGATGAAGCTTTTGGGGTCAATGCCATAGGCATGGCTCCCATCGGGATTCTTCACAAATACCTGGATCTCGTGGGAGGTGGTCTCTACCAGACAGAGGCGAATGTTGGAGAAGATGCCATAATAGGCCAAGGAGCACTGGCTACTGAGGAGCTGTCGCTTGCCACCGGGCTCCTGGAAGGACAGATGCTTCAGGGCCAAGGACCCCTGGCTCTCCCAGATCTTCTCTTGGATCTTCTTTATGGGCTCATAAGGGTTCACCGTAAGAATCAAATCTGAGTAACCCCACTGTCCCACTGTCACTTGGATGTCTCGTGTCCTCTGGAAGGGAGAGAAGAGGGAGAGAGGGTCAATTCCACACTCCTCTGCCTGACATGCAGAAGTTCCCCTTACCTGTCCCTAAGTTTCCAACAGCAGCAGCGGTAGCAACACACTTGGGCTGTGCTAGCCACCTTCTAGGCCCTGTGCTGGGTGCCCGCACTCTTCTGAATGCATTTTACTCTCACAGTGATAACGGAAATCTGTGTTCTAACGTGGCCAACCAATCCAGCAGGAGATCCCAGTCCCAACCCCAGAGCCATTCCGGGTTTTTCCCCTGCCCCCACTGGCAGCGGCTGTAAGAGTGGCACAAAGTGCCCCCTTTGTGCTCCAGGCTCAGACCTTGAGAGATTACTCTCCTCTGAGCCCACCGGCATTAAATAAACCTTGGATCCTCCAAGGTCTCCGAGTGCCACTGGGTTCTTTGGCCAGGATCCAGTCCGGGTCCCGTACAACAGCAGCCTCATGAGGTTGGCTCCTATCATCCCCTTGTACAGATGAGGAAACTGTGGTTGAGCAGGGTTAAGTGACTTAGCGACCATCGCAGAGGTAGTGAGGAGCATAGCAGGTATTTGAACCAAGGTCAGACTCCAAAGTCTGTTCTTCACCACCACCGGAGGTCATGCTCAAGGTTCTGGGAGTCCCGGGTGGCTGGAGAACAGCACCTGGCAGGTGCTGGATGGGGCTGGACCCCTAGCTGATCTTTTCAAGAAGGAATATAGGCCCAGAATCCCCATGTCCTCTGATTTTCAAGATTAAACATATTTGCAAAATGGTATTTATACTCAGGAAAAATCCAGAAGCATATATATTTCAATCTGTCTGTGGGCCTCACTTGGCTGGTGGCCCCCACAAAGACCTGGGCATAAATCCTGGCTCTGCTCCAAGCAGTGTGATGTTGGTTAATTCACTTAACCTCTCTGAGTCTCAGTTTCTTCATCTGTAAAATGGGGATAACAATGTTTGAGATAGTGATAATAATATTTGACCTCTCTATTTGACAGACTTGTCCCAGGACAAGTGCTTGGCAAGTTATTAAGTACAAGAGGAATAAAATCAAAGTGATTATTATGATCTTTGCCTGTACAGCAGGTTTGCCACTGCATAATAATATTACTTGGCATTTTTTGTTCCCCGAATAACTTCCCTCGCAGTTCTTTTCTTTCCAGCAGTTTTGTGCAAGGTTGTTTTCATGGGCTTGCTTCCCACCCAAATCCAGTGAGTTCTTTGAGAGTAGGAGCCATGTTTAATTTCTACCCCACTATTGTCCCCACCAGCCCCAAGTGCTGGCACGAAACAGCTGCTGAATTCACTCGCGTGGCCTCAATTCCTGCCCACAGTGATTGGGATCATGACAGCTCTCTCTTCCGGTTATGGCAAAGAGAAAGAAAAAGAGAACATGGATTTAAAGGAAGCAATCTGAGGCTCAGCGGGTTGAAAAATGTTCCCAATTTCACAGAGCTGCTGGGTGCCAGGCCTGTCTGGTTCTAAAGCCTTGTTGGTGCCATCGACACAGAAGGTAAGTAAATAAGTAAATTCTCCGCAGTTACCTCCTTCTGAGCTTCGAGCCCCTGACAGCCCCACAGAAGAGCCATTACCTTCACATTCCAGCTGGGGACTGGGTTCTCCTTGTTGTCATAGCAACAGTTCTGTTTCAGGCACTGGGAGGCCCTCTCCGAGACTATGTCCCATCTGTATCCTTCTGCCACATTGTGGGTGGGGTCGGCTGGATCCAGGATGATGGGCCTGCAGCACAGGGAGAGGGTTCCCAGGCTCTTTCTGGTCTGCAGGCCAGAAAGAAGCCTGTTCAAGGAATCATCTAATCAAAACCACTGAGCATGCACTGGGTGTAGAGCCTGGGGGGCCATCGGTCCCGGAGGGTCCGGGAACATTGCTGGAGAGGAACAGATCGGGGTTGATTATATTTCCAAGAAGTCCTTTTTGGGGTGTGGAGTGTTGAGATCCCCAAAGGCATGCTGTAGCAAGAACAGAGGCCGGCTCGGGCAGGTGGGCCTCTTAAGATCAGAGCTTTTGTTTTGCTGAGCAAGCTTACTACGTAGGTAAGTTTGAGGCTAGGGCTGCTGAATTGCTTTGGATAATAGAAACACCGTCAGCACTAACCACTGAGAGTTACTGAGGCACTGGGTCAAGCCCTATGGGAATTAACCTATTTTAATCCTTATAACAGTTCTAGGAGGGAAAGACTATTAGACTATTGGTTTCTTTCTTTCTTTCTTTTTTTCCCTTAAGATTTATTTACTTAAGAGAGAGAGAGAGCACGCAAAATGCATGAGCCGGGGGAGGGGCAGAGGGAGAGGAAGACAAGCAGACTCCCGCTGAATGGGGAGGCCTGGTGTGGGGCTCCATCACAGGACCTTGAGATCATGACCCAAGCTGAAATCAAGAGTCGGCTGCTTACCTAATTGAGCCCCCCAGGGTGCCCCGGGGAGAGACTATTTTATTGCTGTTATATATCCCCATTTCACAGATGAGAAAACTGAGGCACAGACTTCTCGAAGTTCTTACTGTCAGCAGATGGGTGTTCCCATCCCTTTGCTCTGGTTCAACAGAGAAGAGGTTGGGCTGCCCCCAAGCATCTCTCTTCTGTATAAATGGTGAATGAATACTTAGCAAATATTGGCTCAAAGAGGGTCTAACAGTCTCCTTAGGTTGCTTGGGGTGAGCACATGGGTCAGATGCCAAGCCCATGATTAAGTTCTGGCTCTTGCCCTCCAGGAGCTTTTGGCTTAGGAGGGAGCTGTGACTTCATCTATGACAGAATGTGACAGTGTGCTATGGGAGGGTGCTGGACACCACAGGCTCTATGCTTGCTATGCCCAACATCTCTGCACCCCAAAACAGCCCTGCCTGAATTAGGGAGCAGTGCCAGGCTTCCCTACAGGGTAAGATCTCCTGACCCAAAGTGACCCACCAGGTGACCTGACATGTATGGTTTGGGCCCAATGAATAGACTGGTTCCTTCGGGGGTTTGGACCAAGGATAAGGGAGGTCCCTCATCACATGGAAGTAAGAGGGGAGTAGGGCAGGTGTGGGGAAAGAAGCAGAGGCTGTCAGAGGAAGAGACAGCATGTGGACCATGAGAGGGAGTGGCAGAGAAAGAGGGTGTCTGTAGGTTTACCTCAGGTCCTGATGGTTTCCTAACCTCAAATTTCTGGGCATCCTTAGAATGAATCCTCTTTTCATCAGGAGACTGGGTTTTACTTCCTTGTTTAAAAAAAAAAAAAGGGACCCAACATTCACATAAGGGACAATAAACATTCTTGGGATATTGCTCGCACTGACCTAGAGCTTCTAATATAAAGAGTTGTCTCAGGCTGGGTTTCTCCAAAAGCAGATCCCAGGAGAAGGATGTGAGTGCCAATGGTTGATTCGGAAGGACAGGCCAGGAAGCCCCAGTCAGGGAGTGGGAGAGTGATACAGGAAGGGAAGGACACCGATGAAGGGTTTGTATTGAGGTGATTCCCACTGTGGGCAACTGGAGGTTAGTCCCAGCGCAGGGACTCTGGGAAACAATGTAGCACATGTGACCCTAAGAGAGTCCTTCCATATGGGATGGGAGGGAGCTGGGGTGTTTATCCACCAGCCTCCACTGGCCACTGGGGGAGGCTGAAAGCCCCAGGTAAAGGCTGGAGGCTGAGCCAGCCTTCACATAAACAGTGACAATCCCGGGGTTGGGGATGGGTGCTGGTGCTTCGCGTAGAGCTACATGCGCCACGAGAATGAACACCTCTCTGGCATCTACCATAGACCAGACCGCATGGGCCCTTTAGGTATTTCCCCAACCCTTAACAATAGCCTGCATTTTAGATGCCACTTACTCCTGCTTTACAGAGGAGGAGCTGAGGCTCACAGCGGTGAGGAAAAGCCAGAACTGGGATGAAACCCGGCTGTCCGCCATTCTTTCCACATTTCCATGCCGTTGCTAGAATGCCCTGAAATGGTCTTTTGGAAGCAAGAGAGCTAAATAGGGTGGGGTTCCTTGAGGCACAAGGAGAAGGCTTACAGCCCCTCTGCCTACCGGGGCATTTTGAAAGGTTTGAGATGTCAGTGTGATTTTAGTGCTTGATAAAGCAGCCCTCTCATTCAATGCGACACTGCCTTTGCCTCTCTTCTTTCTGTTCTCTGTGAGATGTGGCAGACACGTAGGGGCCCAGTACCTGTCTCTTTTGAGCTGTTTTCTGACAAAATCCTTGATGACTGGGTTCTGGAATGTGTAGTACTTGGTCCAGTAGATGCAGAGGGACTTAAACTCCTGGAGCAGTTCCATCACTGAGGTGAAGCCTTTATCCAGCCTGAAATTCTCATTTTCCTGAGTACCCATCTCCCAGGCGTAGATGGTCAGCAGCTCGAGGGCATAGTCAGGGGGCAGCGCGGCCCTGGGGCACTTGGCTTTCACGTACTGTTGAAAGAGACAGGAGAGACCCCAAGATCTTGAGTAGGATCGCTCTAGATGGACCAGAAACTGGCAACTCCAACTTCTTGTCTCAGCTCTGCCACCTGCTGGCTGTGTAATCTTGGCCAGTCGCTTTCCCACTCTGGCCCTAAATGGTTTCCCTGTTTCAGAATTAAGGGGCTCAGTTGGTCCAGTGGATTTCAAACTATTCCTTTTTTTTTTTTTTTTAAAGATTTTAGTTTTGGGGCACCTGGGTGGCTCAGTGGGTTAGAGCCTCTGTCTTCAGCTCAGGTCATGATCCCAGGGTACTGGGATGGACCCCCGCATCAGGCTCTCTGCTCAGCAGGGAGACTGTGTCCCCCTCTCTCTCTGCCTGTCTCTCTGCCTACTTGTGATCTCTGTCTGTCAAATAGATAAATAAAACCTTAAAAAAATATTTTAGTTTTAAGCAATCTCTGCACCCAATGTAGGGCTCCAAGCCTCAACTCCGAGATCAAGAATTGTATATGACACTGACTGATCCAGCCAGTGGACTGGAATGGACTTAGGAAGAGGTGTCCCAAAGAGCGAACGTGTTGGGTTCTAGATCCGAGCCTAAGAAATTCCATTTCTATCTATTTTACTGTACTAGGTTCTTTCTGAAAGATTTCCGTTAAAGAAAAGTCTTCTTTGCTGATAGAAAAAGAGGGGTGGGAATGTAAGATTTTATAGGCGAGGTAAACACAACACCAGGCCAGGTAGGTGCAAGGCAAGATTTATTAAAGGCATCTCTGGCGAAGTTTCAGGACTCGGGAGAAGGGGAGCCAGGAAAGTCGCGCCGGGAGGAGGTGGGCACCCTCGGGCGAGGTTCCGTGACTCCGGAAAGGGGAGTCGGAGAAGTCGCACTGGGACGGAGCCGGTGGGGGTCTTTTATAGGGCCAAGGCAGGGCATGGACTCACATCCATGTATAGTAAGGTATTTGGTGATTGGAGGGTATGGGGTGGGGGGTCCTGATACTCCTGTTTCCTGCATAGGTATTGGGTTACCTATGGAGAGGTGACCTGGACATACATCCTTTTGGCGGGAGAGTCAAGGGTTGGAGGGGGGAGCTGGAGGATGGCGGCCCAGGCGGTCATTTCTATTGTTCCTCCTGCTTTCCCAGAGCCACCGACCCAACAGGGAAATTTCTACAGAACCTGGCAATAGCTGAGATTCTGTGGGGGAACACAGAAGGCTCTAGGAAGCATTTCTCTCTTCTCCATTGTATAGTACCTACGCTGTTTGGATGGGATTACCACTCTCCTCAATGCCAGGGTGAATCCTGTTATGAGCTGATAATTGTCCTCACTGTTTAAGTCAGTTTTTTTTTTTTTAAGATTTTATTTATTTGACAGAGAGATCACAAGTAGGCAGAGAGGCAAGCAGAGAGAGAGGGGGAAGCAGGCTCTCTGCTAAGCAGAGAGCCCAATACGGGGCTTGATCCTAGGACCCTGAGATCATGACCTGAGCCAAAGGCAGAGGCTTAACCCACTGAGCCACCCAGGCGCCCCTGTTTAAGTCAGTTTAAGTTGGTTTTTCTCCTACTTGCAAAAGAAAGCATCTTACCTGATACCAGTCACCTCCTGTCTAAAGAATCTTTCTAGGGGCGTCTGTGTAGGTCAGTCGGTTCAGTGGCTGACTCTAGATTTTGGCTCAGGTTGTGACCTCAGGGTCCTGAGGCTGAGCTCCATAGGGGGCTCTGCACTCAGCAGGGAGTCTGTTTGAGATTCTTTCCCTCTGCACTCCCCTCCCCCCACCAGGTGCATGCACTCTCTCTCTCAAATCAATAAACAAATCTTTTTTAAAAAAGAGAGAGAAATCATATGTGATCAAATCCTTGTTTTAAGGAGGAGGCTTGAACAAAAACAGAAGGGAGGCGTCTAGAAGCAAAGCTGATATACTGTCCTGTGGACATTACCAGAAAAAGGGCATATCATATGTAGGAAGAAAGCACTTTGCATTCTTAGACAGCAAGCAAATGAATCATTCTGCAGAGTTCTAGTTCTCCAAAGCCACAAAACCTTGTGTTTCCTGTAAGTGACTGACTAACCACCAAACCAGCTTTGTTCTTGGCTTTGGGCATTCTGATGACGGAAGATGTGCCACAACCTTGGTTGACTTGATAATCGTGTGAGAAGAAAATGGCTGTTTCCCTCCACCCCCCACCCCCACCCCCAATAAACAGAGTAACTGTAAACTTACTAACTTGGAAATTTTCTGATTCTGTTTTTTAAAGATATATTTATTTATTTTAGAGAGACAGAAAGCGAGTGAGTGGGGGGAGGAGCAGAGGGAGAGTCTGGGAGAGAAAATCCTCAAGCAGACTCCCCACTGAGTGTGGGGCTCTATGTGGGGCTTGATCCCAGGACCCTGAATGATTGGGTTACCCAGGGGTGTGTGTATGTGTGTGTGTGTGTTTGCGTGTGTGTATTTTAATATATATAAAAAGCATCTTTCTTCCTCCCTTTCTAACTTTGGGTTTGTTTCTGAGTCTTCCTTTCATAAGTTTAGTTGACTTTGTTCATGGAGATATTTTGAAATGTACCTGGTACCATGCAAGCCATCATCTGTGAAATCTAAAAATTGGCTGTTGCAGATATATTCACTCGGTAATGACCATGACAGGAACACGGGTATTTGTGGGGGAAACTGGTGTGGGTACAATTAACAGAAACTTTCATTCTGTTAGTCCTTAACTAGCTGAGATTAAGTAACATCTGGAGAACTCAATGTAGTCAGTGCTAGCCAGTATCGACTGAAACTGGGGTGTCACAAACACTTGTGTCCTGGAAAATATTGTATATTCCTTGCTTTTCTCCTTCCTTCTGTTCCTCCTCCTCCTCCACCTTCATCACTATTTCAACTTACAGTTTAAAAGATTAGCATTTCCCCCCCTTCCACACTACCATCCCCCACCTTGATGCAGGCCCCGCCTCCTCTTCCCCGCCCTCTACAGGCTCCCCCTATGGTGCCCCCATCCTGGCAGCCCCCTCACCTGCAGGTACCAGTGCTTTACTAGCCGGAGGAGGCTCTTTAGCTTGGTTGGCCGATATTTCACGAAGTTTTTCTGCAGCTCGCTGAAGGATGGGGAGAAATATCCAGGGTAACCCTGGGCCTCAATCAGACTCACATAGACCTCAGGATGTGGCTGAGTGTTGGAAACAGAAGGCCCTGGGTGAGAGGGAGCAAAGGTAGAGAGCCAGGATTTAGGAAACCCCAGGTCGTTAAGTGGGGAGGAGGGAGCAGAGCCTGCTAATTTCACTGGACTGTCTCCCCAGGGAAACCGGACTCCTCACGGCCCAAGAGAATCAAGGTTTGCCTTGCTTGATTGTCCTTCTGGAGAACCAAAAGTGGGGTTGCCATTCTTCAGGCCACTCAAAGACTGTTATTCTCTCTCGAGGTCCCCAACCCCCCTGGTCCCCTTGATGTCTGCTTGGGATTTCTTTCTCAGTGACTGATTCCAACCTCCTGACACCAGAAGCGAGAACCAGGGTCAGATAAGAGAGCAGGCGGCCTCAAGGGCATTTGCAGAAGGGTGTGCTTCTGTGGCAGCCATCACTAATGCATCCCGGCACTCTTGTTCTTGCCCAGATGGGACCCTGTTTCTGACACCGTCCCTACAAGGTGGATCCTAGCATCCACCCATCTGGATGAAACCTGATTCACCTGGGGTTGTAGCTGATACTGTTTATTCCAAACCCCAGGATTCTTTGCCTGAGGACAAACTCAGACAAGGGCGATGGTAAGTTGGGGAATAAACATCCCACGCTGTATTTGATTGAGGGGTACTCTGCGCTGTCCCCTGGAGTTCTCCAGGGGCACGAAGCCAGAGGCTCGTGTTGGTGACTTTGTGATGCTTCCTCCCTTCCCTATCCCTCTCCCCTACTTCCCTCTCAGCATTTCCCAGGACTGCTTATCCTCACATCTTTGTCTTAGGGTCTGCTTCTGGAAAAGCCCAAACAAGGACAAGCCCTGGCACCCGTGATAAATGCTACAGGAGGACCCCAGTTTCTGCTTCTAACATCTTCCCCTCTGCCGCTCTCATCTCCTCTTGCAATCATGTATTTATCCACATGATTCTTTGATAATTGTTTCCCAAGTTGATCAACAATGGCCCGAGTTGGGCCAGCCCCAACTGAGCCCCCAGCTCAGGATGTAGGTCGAACAGATGAATGCAGGTGTCTGCAGGTGGCCGTGAATGAGAGGTGTGAGAGTTCAGGTCTCCCTGAGATGGCAGGTGTGTGCATCTGATGGGCTTCCCCTCCCCCTTACCCAGGGCCCTGTAGGCAGGCACGATGGTGACAGTGATGGGCTCTGCCGTCACCCTGGTCTCGATGGTGAAGACAAGAGCATCGGGTTCTCCCTGGGTGATTTCCACGTCCTTGAGCCCAAGGGCCAGCAGATCCTGGCAACACAACAGCTTCTTCCATATCAGACTCAGAATGGCTTGGTGGTGCTTGGCCTCTTGCTGGAAGCTGTGGAAACAGCTCAGGAACGCCACCAGTTCTACCTCCAAGTTGTTCCTGACTGCTGTGCCATTCCCGAAGGAGCCTACCTGCAAAACATAGAACCCTGTCACCTGCCACTGCCTGTGCCAGGCAGTCCCTGGTGCTCCTTACGTGAATTATCCCATATCCGAGGCTCCCCACAGCCCAGAAGGGTGGGCAGGTGGTACCAACATCCCCTCTTACAGGCGAGGAAACTGAGATTTCAAGAGAAGAAGTCACTTGCTCAGGGTCACACACAGTATACAGCAGAGCCTGGGTTTGAACCCAGGCAGCCTGACTCCAGAGCCCAGACATTGTTTTGCTGCTGAGATGGGGTGTTCTAAGCTGCAGAGTGGTGCCTCCTCCAAGAGACCACTGAGGCCTACCCCCCAGGGTATTCTGAGCATTTGGGCATCTGAGCCTTTCATGACTTTAAAAAGTTGGGAGCAGGATTGCCTGGTGGGTAAGAGCCAAGGGGCAGCCTGACTTTGACCTTGACTCCTGCACTTGTTTTTCATCTCTGGTCCATAAATGTGAACCCTAATTCCTCGTCTGCAAAATGAGAGTAACCGTGGAACATGAGTCATTGGGTTCCTGGGCGGATTAGATAAGAGAAGGTGTGCAGGGGGCTTGCCATGGGCCCGGCATGCAGGAAGTCAGCCGTATAGCTCTCATTCTCTTCTTTGTCTCATTGACTCAGATCATCCCTTCTCTGCCTGGGATTCAGTTTCCCCATCTGGATGGAAGGAGCCTGAGCCGGATGATTTGGAAGAAGTCTATTTGATGTTCTGAGAGTCTAGACCCGCTCTCCAGCCCCTCCTGCCTCTGGTATACAAAGCCCTACAAATATCTGGCCTCCTGTCTTTCTCACCCCAGGCTGGGAGAGCCCTCAGACCTCAGGGTGGTTACCTCTTCTGGCAAATGGAATCATGACAGATTGATTATAATGCAACTGTCATGGGTTGAACCTTCACGGTGTCTGGCACTATGGAAGGTCCTTTATGCTCATGGTATCTTTTATTTAATCTTAACACCCGCTGACTGGGGTGGGGACTAGTTACCACAGTAATTGTCCCCACTGTACAGATGAGAAAGCTGAGACAGTGGATTCATGGCCAGGATTCATAGTCATGGTCAGTTAAAGGGTCAGAGGACAAGGTGTTCTGACAAGGTGTTCTACTTCTTTCTTCCCTGTGCCCCAAGTCTCTGAGCCAGGCCCTAGTTGAGAAGTCTGCCATCTTTTCTTCCTCCTTTTTTTTTTTTTTTTTCATTCTCTTTCTGCACCTTCATTGAGATCCAACATTTCTGCCCCATTTGGCAGGGCTGGGGATGGAACCCTGTGTGCAGATGAAGGGCACATTCCCTTGAAAGCTATGCCCAGACTTCCTGCCTTTTGCAATGAAGACCCAGGTGGAGACTAAAGAACATTCTTGAACAAGCTTCATGACTTACTCCAGTCCAAGTCTTCTTAAACCCAACTCATTCAAGCATTCATTCATGTGAACCAACCAAGCTCCAGATTTTTGTGGGGGTGGGAAGAGGGTTTAGAACCTGAATAAATCATTATTTCTCCTCTACCATTGCTTTGGGGGTATCTCTCTTATTTTATGGTTTCAGTGGGAGGGGGAAGTTGCTCTGGTCTCCAGGGAGAATTTGAGGGCTGGGTAAATTCCACTTCATGTCATCAAAACTCATTCAGTTGGTAGCATCCCCTGGTCTCCAGACTACCCCCCTTTCATCCACTTCACCCTCAGGATTGTCAGGGGTGGGGCAGGCTGGGGGGGGGTCTGCCTGACTCAGAGCAAGAATTTATAATGGTGCTTTTGTTTTGGTGCATTTGCCATGTGCTAATCTCTTAGTTTACATTGACGAGGCTTTTGCTGGACAAAGAGGAAACTGATGATGATGATGATGAGACAGAAGGTATGAGAGATAAGAGGAGTCTAAGAAGGAAAGGAAAGGAAGCCAAAAGTCAAATCGTGGTCTGTCTAAATCCTGTGGCCTCAGCCTCTAGGTGCTGGAGGTGGGTGTAAGGAAGGGCTGGGGACTCGAGATTTCTAAATCCTCCTCTGAGGTGAGAACTAGTGCCCTAGGCTGGGAGTCAGGCACCCTAATTCTAGTCCTGCCTTTGTCACTAGCTCACTGTGTGAAACTGAGACATCTCTCACCATCTCTGTACTTCAGTTTCCTTAATGTTTAAACAAAGGGTTGGCCGAGACTGATTTTCCAGGGCCTTTCCAGCTTTGACCCCCTTGAATTTTGATTCTAGCTAGGACAAGAAGCAGCTGAAGGAAGGGCATGGGGGGAAAAAATCAGTGGGGTTGGCCTAGAGCACCAGCTGTGGAATAGATAGATCCTGGTTCAAATCCCAGCTCCCCCATGAGCTGTGTGACCTTGGACAAGTCACCTTACCTCTCTGAGCTTCCACTAAAGAAAACTTCTAATCAAAAACTTACAACAGAGAAGTAGGAAGAGACTCCAATGAGCACTCACATATCCAGTCAATTAGTTCCAGCAAGTCTAAACTCCTTGCCACATTTGCTGCATCAAAACCTTGTTAGAGCAATTACAAATACTGAGGAACTTTGTCTCTGAATACTTTAGCATTTTAAAAAAAGATTTTATTTATTCATTTGAGTGAGAGAGAGAGAGAGAGCGAGCACAAGCAAGGGTAGAGGCAGAAGCAGATTCTCCACTGGCAGGGAGCCCGATGGAGGGCTCAAATCCCAGGACCCCGAGATCATAACCTGAGCTTTTAAAGGCAGACGCTTAACCATCTGAGCCACCCAGGCACTCCTGCTTTAGCATTTGTATCCAACTAAAGAGAGCACTTCCTCCTGGCCCATAACCACGAAAGGATTATACCTAAACAATCAACAATGCCCTCTATTATCTAATATCCAGGCCATATTAAAATTTCCCTACTTGTCCCCAAACTGTATTTTATGGATGGTCTACTCACACCAGGATCCAATCAGAGACCTTGCATTGCATTTAGTCATTATGAATCTTAAGGGTCCGAACCTCCATTTTGCTCATCTGTAAAATGGGAAAAGAATCGTGCACACCTCAAAGGGTGCATGAATTAGAGCTCGTGTTAGGGGTTAGGCTAGTGCATCCCAGAAAAGTGAACTATTGTCATGAGTTTCCTTACCAGACTTGTTCCGCTCAAGACAGAAGCAGGGTAGGGTGCAGGCAGCTCAGTGGGGTGCCCTGACATGTCAGCAGCATGGGCTAAGGATAATGAGGCAAGAGGCTCCCAGCATCCTCTGGGACGAGGACCCTCATGCTGCCTTTGCCCGGCCCTGGCTTTATGGATGGAGGGGACCAATCTTACCTTGAGCACCTTGAGCACCCGCACCTTCTCATCCAGTCCGCAGTCCCCCTCAAAGTGCTCTTCTCTCAGAAATTGTTGCACGGTCTGCACAGCCTCCAGAACCTCCACTTTCTGCTCCCGGTAGGGCTGCAGCCATTGAGCCACAAAGGAGTCCAGCCTGGAGGCAGGGGTGGCAAAGAGCTCCCTGGTGAGTGCCATCTCTGAGCCAGAGGACTTCCGCTGCACAGATATATAGCCACACAGTTATCCGGCTCCCTGCATGCCCACTTCTTTAAGGGGGCTCCTCCTCAGTTGACTGCCAGCACCCTGGGGGGGTAGAGGGGCCAGAGTGGAGAGGAAACCAGGAGGTGACTGGGCTGACCTGAGTTCCTCTTCTTGGAGACACTTTGCCACAGCAGGGGCCCTCCCGCTGGGAGTTCTGGGGCCACCTTAACAAGCTTGATTTCCAGCCCAATCTTTTTGCTATCAGTTTCGATTCTCAGCTGCTTTGGTTTCCCTTTGATGACATTTGGAAACTGAAATTGGCTGAGTTTAGCCCTGGAGGAGCCAATGCTCCCAGTAGGTCAGAGTGGAATGCTCTCTATCAGTCCAGTTACCCCATACTGTCATATGAACCCGAGGCTCAGAAAGATGGGGACTTGCTCATGGTTGGTCAGGGTGAGCTGGGGGAAGCCCAAAGGTCCAGAGTCTGGCAGAACAGACTTTGAGTTCTGGTCTGCCCTTTGCCACACTCTTTACTTCTCTGACCCTCCCATAACTGACCCATAAAAATGGGGTTAGTATTCATACCCTCCCCCATAGGTTGTTGTCCAGATTAAGTGTGAGAACACTGAGCACAGAAAACGCTCAGTAAATGCAAATATTATTATTCACTCATGAAGTACCTGTTGAGCAACTGCTAGCTGCCAACATGCTAAAAAGACAAAATAAGATGAGATTCCTGTCCCCAGGGGCTCTCAGAGCAGTAGGGGAGAGGGGCAAGAGATTCTGAGAGTCCAGTGTGACCCTTAAAAGACTACGGATCTGGCCAGGAGGAAGAGGAGGGCAGACCACAGGCAAAGTAGAAGTCCGAATGATCCTGGTGTGTGCCAGGAATTGAATTGTCAAATATCCATTGGCACAGAGGGTAAGGAGGAGAGAGGTGAGATATGTGCCTGGACAGGTGGGCAGGGTTGAATAATTGGAATGCCATCATTCATTCATTCAGTAAATATTTATTGAGTAGGTACTATGTGCCAGGCAGGTGCTGGGGATACAGCAGGGACTAGACAAAAATCCGTGTCTGCAGAGGGTTTACATTCTGATGGTGGAGACTGACCATAAACAGGATAAATAAGTCAAATTGTAGTAAATAAGACGATGAGAAGTGCTAAGCAGAAAAAGTAAAGCAGGGCAAGAGGTTAAGATATATGGTGTGTGTATGTGTGTGTGTGTGTGTGTGTGTGTGTGTATAGGATTATTTAGATGTTCAGTCTCAAATAAGGTGGTTGGAAAGGCCTGAAAAGGAGATATTTGAGCAAAGACACAAAGGAGGCAGTGTGAGCCATGTGTATGCCAGAGGGAAGAGGATGATTCATGGCAGAATGAGCAGCAAGTGCAAAGGTCCTGAGGCATCAGTGTGCCTGGTGGGTTTGAGGAATAACAGCATGACTAGAATGGGATGACCAAAGGGAGAGACTGTGAGGAGATGAGGTTTAAGTGGTAAAATGTTCGGGTGCAAATAGTGTAGGATCTTTTTTTTTTTAAAGCTGCCTTCTTTACCTTTTTTTTTTTTTTAAGATTTTATTTATTTGACAGAGAGAGATCACAAGTGGGCAGAGAGGCAAGCAGAGAGAGAGAGAGAGGAGGAAGCAGGCTCCCTGCAGAGCAGAGAGCCCGATGTGGGACTTGATCCCAGGACCCTGAGATCATGACCTGAGCTGAAGGCAGAGGCTTAACCACTGAGCCACCCAGGTGCCCAATAGTGTAGGATCTTGAAGACTATTCATTAAGGCTGACTTTTACCCTGAATGAAATGGGGAGCCATTGGAAAGTTTCAATCAGAGGAGTGAAATGGTCTGACTTTCATATTAATGAGATCACACTGGCTGCTAGGGGAAGTTTAGATTAAAAGCAGAGGGTAGTTGTGGAGGTGAGAGGGGAAGCAGGGGCTCAGTTAAACAGCTACTTCGATAGTCCCAACAGGAGGGCACCTGGGTGGTTCAGTCTGTTAAGTGTCTGTCTTCCACTCAGGTCATGATCTTGGAGCCTAAGATCGAACCCCATGTCAGGCTCGCTGCTCAGTGGGGGGAGTCTGCTTCTCCTCTGCTCCTCCCCCTCTCTCTCAAATAAATAAATCAAAATCTTAAAAAAAAAAAAAAAGTCCCAAGAGGGGATCTGGCAGCTTGGATCAGAAGTTGTATGATTTAATTTTTTAAAAAGATTTTATTTATTTATTTGAGAGAGAGAGAGAGAGTATGAGCTGGGGGGAGGGGCAGTGGGAGAAGGAGAAGCAGACTCCCCGCTGAGTAGGACTTGATCCCAGGACCCTGGGATCATGACCAGAGAGGAAGGCAGACACCTAACTGACTGAGCCACCCAGGTGCCCCTGATTTAATGTTTTTATTATGGAAAATTTCAAACATAAACAAAAGTGGAATAACAAAAGGAACCTCTGTGAACCATCATTTAGCTTCCACAATGATCAAACTGAGGAAGGAAAGGGTTAAGGTGTAGGGAGGGAGGGATAGGGAGCCCCTGACAAGGCTCTGAAACTATTCCTGACAGGCAGAAGCTCTAAGAGAAGCTGGACAAGAGATAAGCGAACAGACCAGACCGCTGGCCCCGGATGTTAGGGAGTCATTTTCTTTGGTGGCTACAGTGTGATCACAGAAAAATTACCAGACCTCAAAGAAATGAGTCATTAAGGGTGTTACCAATAACACCTGCTCAAACCAAGATGGCACGAGAATCTCAAGGTCACAAGCTTCCTGGTCGAGTTTTCAAAAAGGACCCACCCTGAAAACCCTCAGTGGAAACCCATGAGGGACCCCTCTCACTCTAGAGAGCTTTTTTCTTGCCTTTCTGCTCTCACCTTCACTTAATAAACTTTCACTTCCCTTGACCCTTTTGTGTCTGGCAAGATTCATTCTTCAACCCGGTGAGACAAGATCCCTCCGATCCTGCAACAAAATGGCATCCAGTGATTCTCGCATCCATGTGTCCTCTCCTGTGTTATTTAAGCATGAACCCCAAATGTTGTATCATTTTCCTGCATCTATTTTGAATATAAACAGGTCTTGCTAATGGATAGAATATGATGTGAGACCAAGACTGGACCCAAGGACCACTCCGAGGCTTTGGTTTGGCAACTGGAAGGATAGAATTGTCCTTAAGTGAGATGGGAAAGACTGGGAAGGGCCAGCGTAGAATACTTCTGAACCTCAGTATTCCTATCTGTAAAAAGGGAGAGAAGGTATCATGCGTACTCCTGCACCTAAGTTCCCAGGCAGCTGTGAGGACAGGACATCATGTTGATAAAGACTCTTGGTGTCAATGCCAGGCAGAGGCATGGAATTATTAAGTTACTAAGGAATAGAAAATAAATAATTTTATTGAGCTGCGGAAGCTGATCTTAGTCAAGGCTTTGGGGGCAAAAAAGATACCCTACCTAGTCACATTTACTCAATGAGTAGGAGTTCATTCAATTTAGGTTAATGATGGGGGGGGGATTTGATTTTTTTTTTAAACAAACTGGTCTAACAGCACCCTGCAGCGTCTCTCCCTGGGGCTGTGAGCGCTTTTGATTCTCTCTTGCTATGCATGGCTCCATTCTTTGTGCAGAGGGAAGACTTTTTACTCAGACGTAGACTTGACCTTAGGCTGTTCTGCTCTGACTGCATTTCTGCTTAGACATTCACGCTCACTTAGCTATACTGGGAACTGCTGTACTTGGTCCCACCCCCCAGGGCTCAAAATCAGGCTAAGTAAAACCAATAGATGGTAGTCTATGCTAGGTCAGCTGATCACTCTGGGTCCAATTAGGTTTGGACAGATGAGCGAAGCTATTGGTCGGAGCTTGGCATGGTTTACACTATGGCATGGAGCGCATATGGGTGAGTGGGCAATTTCAAAGAATGAGACAGCAGTTACCATGTGGTCTCTAAAATAGCATTGGGCTGAGACCCTCAGGAAGATAAGAGGGAAGAATTCATTCTTTGGTTCATTCGTTTATTGAGCAAGCATTTGCTGAACATGTGTGCCAGGTAGATAGCATTCTAGACCATGGGGACATAATAAGGCCCTTGTCAAGTCTCATTAGAACAGGGAGACGAATGATCCAACAATGGAACACAACGAGGGTCTCAAGTGTTTTCATGGAATTCTGAATTGGGTGTAGGGGCAGGAAGTGACCCAGTTGGTTGTGTGGGGCTTCTAGCAATGGTTCTCAAACTTGAGCATGCACCAGAATTACTTAGAAGGCTTGTTTAGACACAGACTACTGAACCCTACCACCAGAGGACCTGACTCAGGTAAATCTGGGATAGCTGCTGAGAATTTTCATTTTTGAGACATTCCCAGGTGGTATGCTGATTCTGCTGGTCTGGGGTCCATACTTGGAGAATGATGACTTAGAGCTTTGAGTGTTGACAGATAGAAACACGAGGGAAAAGGGATAGTTGATTCGGTCACAGTGTCATGATCCAGAATTCGGTGCTCTGGAGCTTTGAGAGTTTGGGCACACCTGGTGTGTTTTGAGAGTGATGAGGAGAGACTGAGAAACAAGCAACCACTTAATTGTCAAATACCTTGAATGCCGAGACAAAGAACTTAAACTTTATTCAATAGGTGATAGGAGCCATTGGAGAACTTCCTGCAGGGAAGGGTATATTCATATTTATGCTTCTGAAAATCACAGTGGTCTGGGTGGAAAGGGGTGGGTGAGGGAACAGAACCATAGAAGTCTACATCATGTGCAGCCTGACCTGGGGACCTGTGGCTTTGAATCGAGGAGCTAGGTTCTTGTCTCACCAAGTCGAAGAATGACTCTCACCAACAAAGGAGGGTGAGTAAAGCAATAGTTTTATTAGCAAGGGTACAGAAAAAGCTCTCAGGAGTGAGGGCTCCCAACGTGGTTGCCACTGAGGGCTTGTAGTCTGTTCTTTTTTTTTTTAATATAGAATTTTAAAATTTTTTTAATAAACATATAATGTATTATTAGCCCCAGGGGTACAGGTCTGTGAATCGCCAGGTTTACACACTTCACAGCCCTCACCATAGCACATACCCTCCCCAATGTCCGAAACCCCTCACCCTCTCTTGACCCCCCTCCCCCCAGCAACCCTCAGTTTGTCTTGTGAGATTAAGAGTCTCTTATGGTTTGTCTCCCTCCGATCCCATCTTGTTTCATTTATTCTTTTCCTACCCCCAAGCCCCCAACGTTGCATCTCCACTTCCTCATATCAGGG